GGCGCGGCGGGCGAGCCCGGCGGCGCGGTATTTTTATCTGGGCGGGAGCCGCCCTCCTCCTGCCTCGTCCTCGTCGACGTCTCCCGCGCGGCTGGCAGTGCCGGGGAGCCGAGCCGGGAAGCAGCCGGAGACCCCAAAGCTCAACCCCACCCCACCCGCCAGCCATGGACCCCAAGGACCGCAAGAAGATCCAGTTCTCGGTGCCCGCGCCCCCCAGCCAGCTTGACCCCCGCCAGGTGGAGATGGTAAGGGGGTCGCGCCCCACTCCCGGCATCGCCCCCAACGTGCGCCCCTCCCAGGGGCCGGGGCGCCGGACAGCGCTCCAAGTTCGCGTCCGACTCGGCAACTTCCCCCCTCCCCTTCCTCCTTCCCCGGGCCGCCGCGCGGCTGGGGCGCGAGGATCCCGGCCCCCAGGCTTCGGGCTCGCGGCTTGCTCCAGGGCCACCGACCCGGTCCCTAAACTACCGCCCCGGACCGCCGGGCCCAGCTCCGGAGCTGATCCCGCGAGCGAAGCGCGGTTCCTCGCACAGGCACAGGGACTCTGTTACCTGGGACATCACCTTGGCCACCCACGGCCCCGCTGGCGTCCGGTCCCAGCCTGCATTGCTTGGCCTGGGGTCCCCGGAACTGTGTTCTGCCCTCTTTTCTATCGGCCTCCTGGCGTCCTAACCCTAAGGAGGCGAGGTCATCCCTTCTCCAGCTGGGAGGCTTCCAAAGGCAAGGCAGGGGGAGACAGAGGTCCACACCCCCAAATCTAGCAGGGAGCACTTGTTGCTTAGATGCTGTTGGCTTCCGATGGCGATGTAAGAATGGGACCAAAAGACTGGGGCCTTCGGGTGGGTTAAGTCGGCCTAAGCAGCTTTCCTTCTGGGGTGCTGGAAGCCCGGCAGGGGGAAGGTGACACATTCAGCCGCACTCACCTGGTTCTCTGCATTTCCCTGGAGCTCCAAGGAGACCTAATTAACTGACAGTTGGTCTGATTGCCAAGCTGGGGCAGCTGTTGGGAGCGCTCAGTGCCCCTCCCCATGGTTTAACGTGGCTGGTGTAGCCAGGAAGGTAACTTTCCATGGGGCCTGATAAAGACTGCAGGAAGGAGCCGACCCTAGTCTACAGAGACACCCAAGTCCCAGGATATCTGGGACCCAGGCCTACACCTGAGCCTCTGTGTGAGGCTAGAGGTGCCTGCAGGGCTTTCTTCAGTCCCCTCTAAGGCTGGTTCTAGGGTTTTTTTTGGGGGGGGGAGCTTTTTTGTCTCATTTTTGAGCTCTGGAGTTGATAGGGCAGGGTCATACGGGTGGCAGAGGGCTCCTGACAGCTGCATCCAGCTCCAGCCACAAAAGCTACACGAACTGGAGAGAACGAGGGCTTGGCTTCTGTGGGAAAACATGAAAAGGAAGATGTTGGTTCTGGAGTAGCCATGGCATGGGGTGGCCTGCGCTGGGAGTCAGTAAGGGGGTTTTCTAGTCCTGTGCACACTGCTGAACCTTTCAAGGTTTTCATCTCTGTAGAGGAAGGGGTTGGGTAGGCTACTGAGTCTTTGATTCAAAGGCTCCCTGTGGACTCTAAAGCACTGTTGCCTGCTGCTTGTGGGTGGGGGGGCAGGAGGGATACCTAGGGTGCGTCTCTCCTGTCCTCCCTTCCTCCATCTTCTTAGATCCGACGCCGCAGACCCACCCCTGCCATGCTGTTCCGGCTCTCAGAGCACTCCTCCCCAGGTAGGGCTGCTCCCAATGGGCTAACACCCCCCCCCCAACTCTGGTGTCTTCCTGGGGTCTCTGCCAAAGTCCAGTGAGCAAGGGACAGAGCTGAATGAAGACGGGAGGGGATGAAGTCTGCAAGCCTCAACTTCTTTCACTGGGTCTTGTGTTGGCATGACACCTTGCAGCGCCAGGAGGAAAGGGGCGCACTTCCCCTCTCCCCAGAGGCTGAGTCTTTGGGGGAAAGTGACTCAGATATTTTTCTTTTTCCCTCTCTTCTTCCTCCTCTGCTGGTACATTTGGTGATCCCTCCCCCCAGAGGAGGAGGCATCCCCGCACCAGGTGAGTTTCCTGGGGCACTGGAAGGGGGCACGTCTGGGACCCTGGGTCCTTTGGGTCAAGGTGGACAGGCTCCTGCAGAGCCAGCCACCTACACGGGGTGCCACGGGACACATTAGCATATCAATCACACCACCTCTGAAAAGGGCAGGTGCCAGTGTGTACCAGCAAGTCCTTCTTCCCTCAGACTTGGACCTAAGGTCTTACCTGAGCCAGGGTCTGACTGACAGGTCCAAACAGAGGGTGAAGTAGAGAGGGGCTCAGCTTAGGCTCATGATCTAGCTGCAGAGGCTATAATAGTCTACCAGGTTACTGCAGGGGAGGACGGGGGTGGGGGTGGGGGGCGGCCTGTGGGAGCTCACTTCACCAGGCTTTTTCCTGCAGAGAGCCTCTGGAGAGGGGCACCATCTCAAGTCGAAGAGAGCCAGTCCTTGTGCCTATACACCCCCCTCACTGAAAGGTATGACGCTCCACCCTCAGGGCTGGGTGCCCTGTGAAGGCCTGAGACTGCACTGACATGGGGGAAGGAAGGAAAAATGTCAGCTTTGTCAGGGGTGGGAGGACTGTTTCCTCCACCACCACCTGACTTGGAGACCTGTTCTTTCTTAGTCTCTCCCTTGCAAAAGACAAGAGGCTGCCAGGAGCCAGTGGCTCCATGCCTGTAATCCTAGCTACTTAGGAAGCTGAGAACTGAGGATCATCATTTGAAGCCAGCCAGAGCAGGAAAGGCTATGAGACTCTTATCTCCAATTAACCACTAGAAAACCAGAAGTGGAGCTGTGATTGAAGTGGTAGACTGTTAGTCTTCAGCACAAAAGCTCTGGAACAGCGCCTAGGTTCTGAGTTCAAGCACCCCCCCCCAAAAAAAAGGAAAAGGTATAAACACCTGGCCTCAAATGACAACAGCCATCAAGAGAAAAGAGACTCCACTGGGCAAGTGCCTCCTTGACCACCCATCAGAGGGTGCCCATCAGAGGGCACCTTCTTCCCGTGAGCTCCCCTATCCTCCCTTCCTGTTTGCCTGGCATTTGTAGCCATCTGCATCCTAGACTCTCCCCGGGTCTGTCTCCCCTTCTGTATTAAAAGGCAAAGTCATTCCTGTAGCACGTACTTGCTGAGCACCTCGTATATATGCTAGGCTTCCCTGCTGGGCAGAGAGAAGAATAAGTAGGAGTTGGGAGTTAGGGATGTAGCGCTGTGGTAGAACTCTTGCCTAGCATACATGTGTCCTCAGATTTCCAGCCCCAGAATGGCTAAAATTTTATAAGTAAGAAATCCCTGTGCTTGGGGCTGGGAAAGTGGCTCAGTGGTAGAGCGCTTGCCTTGCATGCCTGAGGCCCTGGGTTCCATTCCTCAGCACCACATAAGCAAAAAGAAAAAAAGCCGGAAGTGGCGCTGTGGCTCAAGTGGTAGAGCGCTAGCCTTGAGCTGAAGAGCTGAGGGACAGCACCCAGGCCCAGAGTTCAGGCCCCACAACCGGACCCAAAAAAAAAAAAAAAAGAGTTTGGGTTGGGATGTAGCTCAGTGGCAAAGCGCTTGCCTAGCAAGTGCAACGTCCTGGGTTCGATCCCCAGTACCGAAAAAGACAAAAGAAAAAAGAAATCCCTGTGCTCCTGAGCCATCTACCTTCAAGGCTCAGAGTTCGAAGAGGGGGCATGATTAGGCCTAGATTGGAAGAATCATAGAATCAACAAGTAAGCAAGACAAAGGGAAGAAGATGTGAAAGGGGCAGGAGATGTGATCAATGTGGGGGAAGAGTGGGATTTAGGGCTAGCCTGGAATCCTGGTTTCTGATCAAGGAGCTATGGGAGAGGCCTGAGGGAGAAGGAGGTGAGGCTTGAGCACAGGAAGGGACTTCTCCTAACTAGGCATCAGGTGCCTCCCCACCCCCTGCTTCAAGTCTAGCTTGAGGCACCTCCTGCCTGGCCCAGCCTCTTCTCCAGTGGCAGGAAGGAGGGAGACCAGGAAGGGTTCTGGATGAATTATGTTCCCAGCACCTGCCAAGGTCAACAGGTACAGCTGTCAGCCTTCCTGCCAAGGTTGGGAGCAGAGGGATAAAAGAAGGGGTTCCTTTTCTTCTCCCAGGACAGGAAAGTGAAGGGGCAGAGCTATAGCCACAGGCAGTGTGGAAGGACTTTCTCATCTGTAGGGATGTGTGTAAGGACTCAAAGTAGGCATGAGGGCCACCGGCCAGTGGCTCAGGCCTGTAATTCTAGCTACGCAGGAGGGTGAGATCTGAGGATCGTGGTTCAAAGCTAGCCTGGGCAGGAAAGTCTGTGAGACTCTTATCTCCAATTAACCACCAGAAAACTAGAAGTGGTACTATGGCCCAAGTGGTAGAGCGCTCACCTTGTGTTGAAGAGCTCAGGGACAGCGCCCAGGCCCAAAGTTCAAGCCCAACAACTGAAAAAAAAAAAAAAAAGGCATGAGGGCAAAGAGCATCTTCTCAACAGATATCATAAGAAGGCTGTCTGCTTCCCACTCTAGCAGGGCAGATATAAGGGGGGAGAACTGTCTCCTGGCCTGTTTTGGGGGAGGATGCAGGGGATTGAACGCAGGGCCTTGAGCATGGTGAATCATGTTCTACATCCCCAGCTACATCCTCAGATCTCACTGGTTTCTTTTTCTCTCCCTCCCTCCCTCCTTTTTCTTTCTTTCCTCCCTTCCTTCCTTCCTTTCTTCCTCTCTCTCTCCCTTTCTTCCTTCCTTCCTTCCTTTCTGCTAGTCCGGTTTAAACTCAGGGCGTAGACGTTGTCCTTGAGTTTTTTTTTTTTTGCTTAAGGTTAGCACTCTATCACTTGAGCCACAGCTTCACTTAATGGTTTTTTATTGGGGGGAATGTTAATTGGAGATAAGAGTCTCACAGGACTTTCCTGCCAAGGCTGACTTCAAACCCTGATCTTCAGTTGTCAGCCTCCTGAGTAGCCAGGCTTATAGACATGAGCCATTGATGCTTAGCTTCTCCCTGGTTTCTTGATTATGAGCATGGGGCAACTGGGCTGGGGTAGGATTTTAGGTCCAGGGCCCTACCCATGTATTCCTACAGTGATCAAAAATGTGCCTCACCTCCAGTCCCCTGTGAGCTAGTCTCAGAGTCTAAGTGAGGACAGGCAGGATGTAGAAAGCTGTCAGAAGAGGGATGGACAGCCTGGGGGCTGTGTTGGAGGTCTCAGATTTTAAAAAGGGAGACTCAAGGAAAGGGGAAATTCAGGATCTCCAGAAGTAGAGAAGCTAGAGAAAACAGCCGGGGTAGAAAAGGTTGCCCCAGAAGGTCCAGGGAGACCCAAGGGAGGATGAAGCATGTGGAGGGTCCGGAGCACCAGCACAGGCAGGGGCTGCACACACCTATTGTCATTATGGCTCAGGAATGAATTCTCCACCCTGGGCTGGGGGAAGAAGGCTGCCCAGGATGCCACCTTCTCTCTCTCCCAGCCTCAGGGCCCCTTCTGTGCCCAGAGGGCCTTGCTTGACAGACTTCACCCATTTCTGGGCAAGGGAAATGCCTGGCAAGTTCAGGGGCTCCAAGAGGAGGATTCAAGTCCCCCACAGCCCTTCAAGGAGGATAGACTGAAGTAAGTTGGCTGAGAGGGGTCCAGGGGTGCTCCAAAGCTCCACTTGGCTCAGAGTGAAGCTTTGCCAAGTCCCCAAGGTCAGAGGCAGGGAGATTTATTGTGCTTTTATTGCCTAGGTAGCTTGCCCAGAGCCAGCGGGAGGTGCTGGGCTGGGAGCTGGGGGCAGGGAGGGGCAGCGGGCACACACAATACACCCTCTGTGCCTGTCCCCAAGTTGGCAGAATCCCTGGCCCAGTCCACGGCACAGAGGTTTCCAGCCAGTATCTACCCACTGGGCTGCTAAGGGGAGGGGCAGCTGGCGGGCTAAGAAACTGTGCGGCCCTGCCCTTCTGGGCAGCATCTGCTCTAGGAGCTGTGAACTTAGTATCCCACCTGCTTCCAAATCCCATCAGTCCATGCTTCCTGTTGATTTTGAACCAGTCTCTGCTCACAACATCCTTTCAGCTCCCCACCAATCCCTAGACTCCCTCTAGCCCTGGCCCCTTTCTCCCATCATATCTATGGCAAACCTCTCCAGTTGCCCACCCTAGCCCCTTTCTAGGCTGTATATGAGCAGGCATTGGTACTGGTGGGGTGTTTCCTGCTTTCTAGGTCACTGCAGAGGGAACTGGGAGCCTAGGGATGTGGGTCAAGATTGTGGGGGCTGTGTCGGAGTAGGACATTTCTCTTGCACACACTTCACCAGCCACAGAACTGCTGTGACCTTAGTCTCTCAGTCACATTCCTGCCCTTGGAGTCTGGGGCAGGGCATGTGAATTGGCATCTAAGACTAGGCAGTATGGTGGAGGGGACACAGAGTGCAGAGAAGGTCGGGATAAGCAGGGAAACTGGCAAATGCCCCAGGCCCAGGGACTTGTGCTGAGGCTGAAGTTGGTCAGCCTTGTCCATAAGGAATATTTGGAAATACAACATTCTAGCCAGAGAATGTTAAACTGCTGCTGTGCCCGCCTGGTCTTGCCCAGCTTGGCTCCCCATGGTGCAAGGCTTTGGGGGGAGGGCAACATCTTGGGACAGCTTAAGAACCTGCCTCCTGCTGTTCCCATCTTGGTTTGGTCTGGTCCACAGAAGACTGGGCTATAGTTTTTGGGCCTTGAACTCAGGGTCCTGAGGGTGTTAATCTGCCTCAGACCCCTGGCTGACCCTTGCATTCCTGGGTCCCCTTTGCCAGCCGTGCAGCAGCGCATTGCTGAGTCCCACCTGCAGACCATTAGTAACTTGGCCTCAGAGGAGGAGGATGAGCTGGGGGAGCTGCGGGAGCTGGGTTACCCAAGAGAGGAGGATGAGGAAGAAGAAGAGGATGATGAAGAAGAGGATGAAGAAGAAGACAGCCAGGCCGAAGTCCTGAAGAGCATCAGGGGGTCTGGTAAGCTGAAGGGTCTTCAACATTCAGGCCCCCACCACCACAGGCTAAGCGTGGGTGCTCCTTGGATATCCTGAAGCCCTCCCAAGACAGTTTCTTGCACTGAAGTGACACCACAGGGCACCTCCCACTGGGCCATACCTGAGCCTAGACTTACTCCATCTTGGATTTAGCTTCTCCCCATCCAGTTTTCCCCAATACTCTTCTCTTCCCTAAGAATTAGAGGTTGGTCTGAAAAGGTGGCTCAGTGGTAGAGCGCTTGCCTTGCATGCATGAGGTCCTGAGTTCGATTCCTCAGCACCACATAAGCAGAAAAAGCCGGAAGTGGGACTGAGGTTCAAGTGGTAGAGTGCTAGCCTTGAGCTGAAGAGCTGAGGGACAGCGTCCAGGCCGAGTTCAGGCCCCATGACCAGACCCAAAAAAACAAAAACAAAAAAGAATTAGAGGTTTGAGGATAGACCCACAAAAGGACTTAACATCCATGGCTACAAGGGGGTGAGAGGAAAAGGGGTCCCAAACCCCCATTTCTGATTGTGTGGTATGATTTCTGCTGGATTCAGGGGGCCAGCTGGTTGTCTTCTTCAGAGCCCTAGAACTATTTTCTCCTTTTACTTCCTAGGGTGGGGTGTAGGAGGGTGCCCTCTAGTGTCCAGATGAAGAACCCAGGATTTAAGAACCAATCTGAGCCCTCACACTTGTAATCCCAGCTACTCAGGAGGCTGAGATCTGAGGATCACAGTTGGACTCCAGCCTGGTCTAGAAAGTCCCCATGAGACTCTTATCTCCAAAAAACTACTCAAAAAAGCTGGAACTGGCCTGGTGGCTCAAGAGGTAGAACATCATCTTGAGAACAAAGAGGCTGAGGGATAGTGCCCAGGCCCTGAGTTCAAGCCCCAAGACCAGAAAAAGAAGAAGAAGAAAAGAACCAATCTGATTCTTTGCATATCCAATTTGAGCTTCCTGGGAGAAAGGGGACCAGAAAAAGGCCTACAACCTACACAGAGGTCCAAACACCTCACAGAGTCTCAAAGCCTAGAGAACTAGCAAGCAGGATCCTCCCCCCTTCCCAGGGTTGTTTTTTCCATATCCGGCCATGCAAGGTTGTGCCACGTCTATTCCTACAGGTGTACATTAAATTTTTGGTCCATTATTAATATTTATTCTTCCAATTTGTTCATATGTTTATTTAGTGCTAGAGACAGAGGATTGGATCCAGTAGACATTCTACCACTTGGGCCATGTATCCAGCCCTTTTTGCTTTAGTTGTCTTTGGAATAGGATTTTGTGCTTAGGTATACCTGGGCTGCCCTGGACCATAATTCTATTTACACTTCCTGGAGTCATTTTTGGCTGAGATGGGCTTTTACGTTTTTTTTTTTTGGCCCAGACTGGCTTTGAACCACAATTCTTCAGATATCTACCACCTGAGTAGTGAGGTTACAGGTATGAACCACCACTCCTAGCCTATAGGCCCATCACTTATAGGAATTGCAGTCCCCTGCTTGAAGCATTTAGCCCTTGCACCCTGACAAGATAACCTGGGCTTCTGTCTCTGGCAGCTGGAAGGGTTAAACCAGCTCCCACTGAGAACCCTAGAACAGGAGGCGAGAGACATCTCTTCAGGACAAGCAGTAGGGCAGTGGGTCATATGACTTGACTATCAAGGAATAACAATAACCCCTAGTACACCTGAAAGGCTTCTGAGTGCTGGCACTAGCCCAGGCAGGTATTACTTTACTTAAGGTAATCTGTAATGGCCCTGTTACACAGAATCTCCTTCAGAAAGGTGACAGCTGACACACCTAAGTCACATGGCCTGTTATTGGGAGAGCCATCTAGTCTAATACTCTGTCTGCTATGCTTCAGAAAGCTTGGCCTCAGCCCTTAGATGTAGCTTATAGCTCTAGGACAGTCAGATGGGCACTCAGAACCTGTTCTTATATGCCCTCTTTTCCAGGTGGGCAGAAGATAACCTGTGGCCAGGGTCTGGAAGGGCCCTGGGAGCGTCCACCCCCTCTGGATGAGCCCCAGAGAGATGGGAGTTCTGATCAAGTAGAAGATACAAGAGCACTAAGTGGTAAAGCTTGAAGAAGGGTGTGGGAGGCCATTGGGGACCTCGGTGGGCAGGACCCAGCTCCTGAGTCCTTCTCTAACTTGCCTTACAGAGCATGGGGAGGAGCCTCAGCGCCCTGGTCCCCCTGAGCCTGGCACATAAGCTTCCAGTCCTGCATCTGCCAGGAGGGAAGTGAAGGCATCACTATTCCCCAGAAATCTACTCTGTCCCCATCTTGCTTTGTACCCTTCCCCATATCTGCTAGGGCTGCGGCTTCTGACTTCTAGAAGACTAAGGCTGGTCTGTGTGTGCTTGTTTGCCCAAATTTGGCTGATGCCCAGAGTTACCCAATACATATCCCTGCCAGTCATCCCTCCATTCACCCAGTGAGAAGTGGGATATGAGAGAGTCCACAATGGAAACACCAGGAAACCAGAAATAATCATTCTATTCCCCAGATCCTCTCCCCTGGGCACCGGAGACCCACAGGGCAGGACCCTAAGATCTGGGCAGAGGAGGTGCTGAGAACCTGCAGGTGTCTTTAGCTCTTCTTCATCCCCTCCCCTATGGGGACCTCAAGTTACCACTTCTCTCACTGGTCTCTATAGGGTCCAGGACTCAGCCATGTTTCTCCACAGTCTCATCATTTTGGACATATTCACATATCATCCCTGCCCCTCCTGGGTGCCTGGAAGATGGACTGGCAGCAGCTGCTTTGTTACGTTTTTTTTTGTTTGTGCTTTGATGCCAGGAATGCAGCCTAATATATATAGTAAATATCCTTACAGGGAGCACATAGGATGGGGAAGCCAGGTTCTCCTTGTTCTCCAGCTGCTCTGCCCCCTTCCCCCTTTTCCCTAACTCCAGACCTGAACCTCTCCTGTGCTGTAATAAATCTTTGTAAATAATTGTGCTGAGATTTCTTCTTTCAGGGGAGAGGGAAAGGGTGTTAATCTCCTGATATGGAAAGCTGGTGACAACAGGTTCAGGGCATTCTTTTTTTTTTGGGGGGGGGAGGTCGGTCGTGGTCACTCAGCTCTTCAGCTCAAGGCTAGCGCTCTGCTACTTGAGCCACCGCCCCACTTCCAGCTTTTTTCTTTTTGCTTATGTGGTGCTGAGGAATCGAACCCAGGGCCTCATGCATGCAAGGCAAGCGCTCTGCCACTGAGCCACCTTCCCAGCTCCTAGGACATTCTTTAGGAAGGATCATGGAAGTTCTACCTCCTGCAGAGGATGGCTGAAAGAGGGGATAAAGGATGGAAATAGGAGTCCTTGAAGAGTAACCGTGGGTTGAGAATGGTGGTCGATGCCTGTAATCCCCAGCATTCGGAAGGCTGAACAGAAGATTCCAGCATTCGGAAGGCTGAACAGAAGATTCGAGTTGGAGGCCAGCTGGGGCTACAGAGGGAAACTGTCTCATATAATAAGCTGGATTTCTTTTTTTTAATTGTTTTTTTTTAATTGTGAAAATACTGTACAAAGGGGTTACAGTTACATGAGCAAGGTAATGAGTACGTTTCTTATCCAGCATTGCTGCCTCCTCCTCTGTTTTTCCCTTACCATCCCTTCTCTCCCACCTCCCCAACTACCCCCCCACCCCACCCCAGTAAGCTGGATTTCTCCAGCAGAGCCTTCCCTCACCCCCACACACCACTCCTCAGGCGAGTCTTCTTTCTTCTACCGCGCCAGGTTAAAGTGCCTGGTCTTCTAGCCCTTCCCTCCCATCCCAGACCGCAAACTTTTCAGTCTTAACTTTGCTCGCAGCGCCGCTTCCCGGCCTCTCACTGAGCCCGCCGGCTCGGGGGCGGGATAAACCCGGCTCGCTATAAAGGGGCGGGCTCAGAGGCGGAAGTGGAGCCGCGAGGAGATCTCCTTCCGCTCTGCCAAGCTCCCGGAGCGGCTGAGTGGTACTGCGACTGGGGGAGGAAGAGCAGGGCCCGTACCGAAATGGAACAGGTGGGTCCTGCAGCGATTTCTCGGACTGGGAGGTAGCGCGAGGGCTTTCTGTTGCTGGTGGCTCCCGCTTTCCGGCCGGGTGTCCGTTCTTGGTTCCGTCCGACCCTTCCCACGCCCCCGGCAATCCAGGTTCCGCCCCCTTCCTCTTCCTCGGCCTGTCTGCGAAGCGCGTGCGGGGTTCGTGGCGGGCCGGGGCGGGGTGGGGGGTCTTTTGCGTTCATCTCCAGCCGCCCGAGAGGGTCCCCCAGAGGACGTCGGGGAATCACTGTTCAGAGCCTCCCCGCTCAGCAGTGAGAGCTAAGGCGAGGGGACTGTTACCTGGGTGTTGGGGCGGTGGGTTGGGAGGGGTCAGAATGTGAGGATGAGTAAGGAAACATCTCCACAGCCCCACTGGCCTGTCTCTCCCTGTGGGAGACCACCGCGTGTAACTTCCTAGTTGATATCAAAAGGGCCCTTTAAAACTATCTTTCTTGAGTTCCTGCAGGCGCATAATACCACGGACACTCATTTCTGGCTGACATGCCTTACCCCTTCCTTCGCCTCACCCGATTTTCCTTCTTCCTCTCCGACAATAGGTCAGAGGTATCTCTTCACATTCTTTCTTGCTCGACTCATCACTCCGTGTACTGATTCTGGTGGTCCCTTCTACTCCCTTAGCGTCGGCGTCACACCAGCCAAATACCCAGATCTAGATGTGGATGGGACATCTCCACTTCCATGGAGCTCTCTGGTTCCAAATCTGAACCGATCCTTTCTTTGTAGATTCGTCTTTCTTTGCTATCCCATCCCAGCACGAAAATCATCTTGCATTTCCTCTTCTCCCTCAATTTTCACATTTATGAAATAATGTTGGAGAGTTAACTTCCTGAACTTCTTGCTCCTCTTTTTTCTCTGTTACCACACTTGTTGACATGTTTCTCACCAAGATGACTGCAGTAGCTCCCCAGAAACTTCCACACATGGCCTGCAGCCAGGGTCTAAACTCTAGCCTCCAAAGATCTGTTAGAACACAAGTCAGATTGTGTTAATTCCTTACTTATAACCCTGCTGGCTTCCCCTGGCCTGTGGGAAAAGGCTGAATACCAAACACAGTTTATCATATTCTCTGATCTGACTTTTTCCCTAGCAATCTCCAGTATGCACCCTAAGGTTTAATAATATGGCCCTGCATGGTCTTGCTCACACCTTCTTAGTCATGTCTCCATGCCTTTGCACCCATTACCCTCTGATCTGCTGGGCTTCCTTCTACTCATCCTAAAGTGTACTGCTCACACAAAGTTATCTCTGGTTCTCCACCTCAAACTTTGTATCATCTGTTTCACCTTTCTGAGTACTGGGACTATAATCATGGACCTCCAGTCCTGCCTAACTCCCTCTATAATACCATCATGGCTGAGAATCTAGACCTTCTGAGTCATACTACCTTTTTGTTTATGTTTTCGGTTTTTTTTTTTTGGTGGGGATTGAACCCAGAGCCTTGCTCTACTACTTGAGCCCCACCTCTAGTACCTTTTTGAATTGGATTATTTTCAAGATAGGGGTCTCATTTTATGCCAGGGCTTTATGGGCCGTTGTCTTCTTAATTGTGCTTCCCCAAGTCGCTAGGGATAATAGTTGTGTGTCCAGCTAGTGATTGAGATGGAATCTTGTGAACTTTTATTATTGGGCTGGCCTTGAAGCACAGTCTCCCAGCCTCTACCTCTCTAGCTACTAGCTACTCTAGTTGTGCTTGGTATTGAACCTTGGGCCTTGTGCACATTAGGCAAGCATTCCTCCACTGCTCCAGTGATTTTAGGACTTTGAAGAAGTCAGCACTTCACTTTTCTTATTTATAAAATGGAGATAGTTGCCGGGCACCACTAGCTCACATCTGTAATCCTAGCTACTCAGGAGGCTGAGATCTGAGGTTTGTGGTTCAAAGCCAGCCCGGGCAGGAAAGTCCCTGAGATTCTTATCTCCAATAAACCACTAGAAAACTGGAAGTGGCTCTGTGGCTCAATCAGTAGAGTGCTCGCCTTGAACTGAAGAGCTGAGGGACAGTGCCCAGGCCCAGAGTTCAAGCCCCACACCAGACCAAAAAAAAATGGTATAGGGCTGGGAAGTTGGCTCAGTGGTAGAGTGCTTGCCTCGCATGCATGAGGCCCTGGGTTCGATTCCTCAGCACCACATAAGCAGAAAAAGCCGAAGTGGCTCTGTGGCTCAAGTGGTAGGGTGCTAGCCTTGAGCTGAAGAGCTGAGGGACAGTGCCCAAGCCCAGAGTTCAAGCCCCATGACCGAAAAAAAAAAAATAAAAGGTATAGTGTCTTCCTCATATGGTTGTTGTAAGAATTAAATGAACTAGGCTTTAAACTTGCCAGGTATGTGAGAGCTCAGTAAATAAGCATTAGTTATTATGACTAATACAAGAGCAATCAAGTTCAGTGGTTATGATTTGTAATTTTATAAGCTGCTTGAGGATAGTTGATGTGGCTTATTCTAAGGATATGATCTGGATTTATTAAATGAGGATTCAAGGGTGAAAAAATCTAAGTCTCTGAGATTGGGGAAAGGGGGATCAGAAGGAAAGAAAGGAAGATTGGAGATGGGATTGGAGATAACTGGGGATCTAGCTCAATGGTAGAATGTTTGCCTCGTTTGTGTGAGGTACTTGTGTCAGTCCCCACCAGTGAAAAAAATGAAAAAGACATACAAAAAAGGCAAGACTTGCCAGGTGCTAGTGACTCATGCCTGTAATCCTAGCTGCTCACCAAAGAGAATGAGATCTGAGGATTGCAGTTCAAAGCCATCCTGGGCAGGAAAGGTTGTGAGACGCTTATCTCCAATTAACTACCAAAAAACTTGAAGTGAAGTTGTGGAAGTGCTAAACTTGAGTAAAAAAAAACAAAAACAAAAAAACATCAGTTCAAGCCCCAGAACTGGACCAAATTAAAAAAAAAAAGTCCCAGACTTGATGTGAGTCTGTTCAAGAAAATGGACCTGGTAAACGTTCCAAGATTAAGCATTAATTCTAGAGTGCACCCAAGGGAGAAGATAACCAGGTGTAACTTCACAGAGACGTGAGGATACCCAAGGGAGGGAAGTTGAGGTTGGAGTGGATTAGAGAAGGAATTGCTGGGGCCTCTAAGCAGAGCTCTGATGGGTGCCATAGCATGGGAAGAGGAAAGTGATTTCTTTCCTCCATTGACCATGAGAATGTGTCCCCTTGGCTTAGGAGCCCACAGAAACTGTACCCTGAGGAGGTCTAGAATACTGGTGATTGAGGCTAGTTAGGCCTCACCAGACCTGCAGGTCCCTGGGGACCCAGAGACTTGCTTGGGTCTAGCACACTGCAAGCTCTCAGTTCCTGTGAGCTGCTTTCTGCTGAACTCTCATACATCGAGGCTTGTCAGAGGAGAGCATAGTGAGTGAAATCCCAAATCCTGTCTCCCCATACCCCAGACTGGGGCTTGAACTCAGGGTCTAGTGCTGTAGCTTTGGCTTGCTTGCTCATGGCAGGTGCTTTGCCATTTGAGCCACACTCCAGCCTGACTTCTTTCTAGGAGGTGGAGTTTTACAGACTTGTCTTCCCTGGGATGACTTCCAACCATGATCATCCAGATCTCACACTCTGAGTAGCCGTTAGCACCTGGCTTATTTTTTGGTTTTCTGGATGAGGCTGAACCTAGGGGAGGTAAGTTTAAGATTACTCAGCAGGGATTTGGAAGTTGTTTCCTGACCCCAGGTCCATAGCTGGCTCAGAAATGGCCTCTTTCCCCTTCTCCAGGAGGCGCCTGCTGCATGAGCGTGACAGAGATGTCCCATGTGGCCAGGCCTGTGTACTTCTGGACTTTCCCTGGCTAAGGAGAGGCTTTTATCTGATGGGCTAGTTCTCGGAGCAGCCTGTATGGCAGGGCCTTTCCTTGAGAGGACAGAGGGCTCTCTGGGAA